GAACTGGACGTGTTCACGGCTCATTTCTACTCTGCCTAAAGAGGGTGGTCATCTGGGTTTGGATCCATGTCTATCTGAACCAGAACTGGAAGATACCCAAGCTACTAAAACTTAGGACCCAGTTTCAGGAGGCGAGAGTGGGTCGTGGACAGTCATCCCCTGGGCAGGAAACCTTCCTCAGGTGGCACGGTGCTGCTCTCAAGACGATGAGACTGCCCATGGGGACTTTATTTCCCCTTTCCCTCCACTCCCCACTCCATCCTGTGTTTAATAAATGTCTGCCTTCTCTGCAGTGCCCTGGGTCTTTGAAGTGCATGTGCATACAATAACGGCCCTACCTTCAGGATGCTTGGTCGCTGAGGAAGACTGGGAAATTTATAAAAACAGCAATGCTGAGATGTCCTCTGTGATGGTTAATTTTGTGTCAACTTGGCTGGGCCACAATGCCCAGACACGTTGTCAAACATTATTCTGGGTATTTCTGTGAGGGTGTTCTTGGATGAGAGTAACATTTAAGTCCACGGACTCTGAGTAAAGCAGATTGCCCTCTTCAATGTGGGCCTCATCCGATCCGTGAAGCCCTAAACAGAAGCAAGACTGACCTCTGAGGAAGAAGGAATTTTGAGGCAGACAGTGGTTACCCTGCAGCACTGGCTCCTCTCTGTGTCCTTCCCCTACCAGCCCATCCTGCAAATTTTGGACTTGCCAACTTCCATAATCATATGAGCCAATTCCTGAAAATAAATGTCTTTGTAGATATAGAGACAGATAAACAGACCAACACACATGTATATTATTGGTTCTTTTTCTCTGGAGAACCCTAACACACTCTCCCATGTCACCCCCCTGGTCCCTCATTATAGCATCTCTTGCCTGGACCCCTGTGAGCCTCCTAATGCCAGTGTCTCCTTTCCCATCTTCCCTGTGGCCACCAGGGGTCTCATGCTAAAGCACACGACTGAGTATGTTCTATTTACAGTCCTTCCTCATGCCTCACCTTTCCCGCCACTGTCTCCCAAACCTCTCGCACCACCTTTGCGATTTCTGTTATATCAGATTGTCTCCTTGCTGAAATAAAAAAGGGATGAAACAACTGAAAAAGAACTCATTTCCTCACCCTGTCATTCAGCACGTATCTCTCAACGTTAAATCCACGTCTCGAGTACCATCAGAGAAAGTATTCTATTCCACGTTTTTGGGGAACGCTGGTTTACAGAATAAAATCCATTCTTGGCACAGTCTACAAGGTCCTTCAGCACCAGAAAGTATTTATTAACTAATGGCATCAAATTCTTACCCCAGCTCCATGGAATAGTTGTGCCCCCAAATGCCACATACACCCTGGAACGCCTCTGAGAAGAACACCTTCTCTCTTTGCTTCCTGGAGAACTCGTTCTTGGGCTTCAAAATCCAGCTGCCTTTTTTGTGACAGTGTCCCACAAGTGTTCCCGGCATTTTGCCCCAGCCTGTAACCTTTACCATCACACTGTGGATATATGGATGAGTGCCTCCCTGGACAGGGGTTCAGGGGGTGGGAGCATGCCTTATTCCTTGTGGGCATCCTCAAGGGGACCCTGCAGTAAATAGCACCTCTCTTCCCTGNCGGATATGTGAATGAGTGCCTCCCTGGACAGGGGTCCCGGGGGTGGGAGCATGCCTTATTCCTTGTGGGCATCCTCAAGGGGACCCTGCGGTAAATAGCACCTCTCTNAGTAAATAGCACCTCTCTTCCCTGTCTGGCCTTTGCACACATTGAGAAATAAAACAAGAGAGGGACAGGAGTCAAACTATTCACGTTTTTTTCCCTGATGAAGGCTAAATGAGAACTTAGCTTTTGCATGAAACCAAATGTTCCCACTAAGCGTGTCCAGAATTTGGCACAGGANAAATGTTCCCGCTAAGCGTGTCCAGAATTTGGCACAGGACTGGGCAGCCTCCCCACGCAGCTGGAAGAGCCCAGCCCTGGAGAAGTGGCCCAGGAAAGCTGTTCACTGCAGGCAGCTGTCTTCCTAGAGAGTGAGGGACAGGCTGGGCTCTGCAGGCCCAGTGTTTTTTTCCCAGAATTTAGCCCTCAGGGTGTTTAGGGAAAACCCTCCTTATCTGGCCATGGAGTGGGGCAGATGTGTTTTACCTCCTCGAATTAAGCTCTGAGGTGGCATAGGATCATAAACTTCCAGAAAACCAGAGTACGATCTCAGAGATTAGCTATCCTGACCAGCCCTCATTTTACTTATGCGGAAATGGAGGCTCCATGGCCACTTAACCCTCACCNGATGTGATCTCAGAGATTAGCTATCCTGACCAGCCTTCATTTTACTTATGCGGAAATGGAGGCTCCATGGCCACTTAACCCTCACCTGAGGATTAACATGTAATTAGTATGTAATTTGTGTGACAGATGCTATTGATATTGTTAAAAACAAGACAACAGGCCCCCAGTGGAGTGGCTTATGCTAAACCCCACATCGCCAAACTGAGATTTAACTTAATTACAGTTTCACTCTCCCAGAGATGGAATCTTAAACCGGCTAGGAATCACCTGATCAGCACTAATGAGGTAACCTGCCTGATAAACCTTGTCATCCCTTAGAGGAAAGTAACCTCGCAACAGCCAACCCGCTTTTTGCCTAGTATAACTGCGTTGTTCCCACTCCCTTCTGCTTATAAAAGTCTTTAATTTTGTAAGAGCTCCTCTGAGCTGCTTTCTACCTGCTAGCCTGGGTGCTACTCGATTCATGAATCATTAAATAAAACCAATACGATCTTTAAAACTTAGTTGAATTTTTAAAAAAAACAAACCAATATTTTGACACAAATCCCAAGGGCTAGAAAAAGACAAGCTTGCCTGCTCCTTCACAATGCTGCAGGAATTGAATTCCCAGGCCTCAATCAGCTAGACCCCCAGGACCCCGGCTGCCTGAGGGTCTGCCCCCAGAGAGTCTTGGCACAGGACTATAATTGTAGAATCGGGAAACAGTGTCCTTGGCTAACTCAACCGTATCCACATAATTAAAAGGAGGAGAAGTGAAATGTCGGTAGGAAATACGCATTTAATAAATTTTAAAGAGCTCTGTTCATTTTCGAATCCTCGCTTTTTCCTTCTGCCTGAATTCTTGCCACTGTAAATTACTCCAAAAAACCTGATGTTGGAATAGAAAAGGAGCTAGGAGCCTGAGAAGCGATCTTTAACATTTAACCTTCCTTTGGCACCATCTAGGATTTTAATTTCCAAGCATGGCAAGGAGGCGGAAATGATTTAGGGCCTCGCCTGAGCACAATCACTTTAAAATGAAGATAAAATTTCCCCCCCTTGCGATCTCTCTCTAAAACCACCTAATGAATGATGGCCTTTCCCGGGGCTGATTAGATCAGAAGGCATTTCTAATTCCTCATGAATGGCAATATGAGCAGAAGTATTCCAAAGCAAGGGCTTCCTTTGATCCACACCAGGCTCCTGAAGGAAAGCAAAACAAAAGCGCTGCAATTAACCCGGTGTTGGGGAAAGACCAGTTACATGCTTTTGCAGTGCCCTCACCACCTTCTTAGGGGAAAACACTGCTATTCAAGCCTCCCAATGCCTGAGAGCCTGGAGCTTCTAACCCAAGAAGGGAAGCGGCCAGCCGGGTTATTTCCGAGCTCCTGCAGTTCCCAGCCGCCCCCAAGAAAAGCTACTTTTTACTGCTCAGCGGCCACCGCCTGGCGAGCGAACCGGGCCCTGCGGGGTCGGCCTCCTGCGCCCCCTGGCGGGTTCCTACGGCGGTGCAGCCCCGGCCGCCCGCTGCAGAAAAGCGGACCCGGGCGGACCTCGCCGCGTGCTGACGCTGTCGGTGCGCACGGCCTCGGCCGCGCTCCCCGCTCGCCGTCTGTCCCCATCCAGGGACCAGGCAGGCTGCGGGAGAGGGGGTTCCAGCTGCAGCTCCCGAGTGCAAGACCTCAGCCTAGTGTCAGACGGTTCCAGCAGTGGCCACCCCAACCTGGGCGGGGAGCGGATGCGTCTTCGGAGCCGTCCGCGGTAGTGCAACTCCGGGAGCCAACTTCAGACCAGCCTGTGGACTCCGCGCAGGTAGCGGGGTCCTGCCCCTCGGTGGATGGGACCCTCTGGGTCCAAGGGGAAGTGGTGAAGTGCCTCGCCCCCCTGGTTCCTGCAGGCGCGCGCGGGGCTCCGAGAGATTGTAAACTGACGGCTCGGGATGCAGAGCCCTTGACTCTCGCGGGGCGCGTCGGAACCCTCGAGGGTGCTGGGTTGGGGAAGCTCCCTTCGGGAGGTGACTGGGCCTGGGAGGATCCCCGCGGGAGGGGTGTTGGGGACAGCAGTTGGGGGTCCTGGGGGTGGGTACTGAGGCAGGATTTCCTCTAAGAGGGACCGCTGGCCGGGGGCTCCACGGACGCAGCCGGGGTGGGCTGGGGATGGTTACGCATCTTAGAAACGAGGTTGCAGAAGGTCCTGAGCCGGAGTTTTCCAGGCGAGGGCTGCTGGGGGTCTCCGGAGGGAATAACTAGTAAGGTTTTCTAGGAAAAGTGACTGGTTTGGGGGTCTCGCGGGAGACGGCAGTGTTGAGAGCCCTGGGGAAGGTGGGCGTCCTGTCCCGGGGCACAGGGGCTGATGAGGGCTCTCCCCTCTCCTTCGGTCGTAGCGACTGACGACCTCAAGCAGCTGGCGGTGCGCTGGATTCGCGCTCATCTCCAGGGGCTCAGAGGTACCGCAAACGGGGATTTCTGGGGTGGCGGCTGAGCAATCTCGGGGCCGGCACTTGTGCCCCGAGTCTCAGATGATTTGGGGTTCCTGGGAAGGGGACACCTGCGCTGCACGTGCGTCGGGAGAAAAACACGGCAGTCTTTTCAAGGCCCTGGGGGTTGGTTTCAGGGTCCCGCCCAGCAGACCGGTCTGCGGAGTCACCCGCACAGCACCCCGAGCCGCCCCCAGGCCCGCCCGGGCGCCGCGTCGGGCCACGCCCTAAAAGTCAGCAAAAGGCCAGGGTCGCACCGTGGGGGCCCCGGGCATGGAGTGCGCGCTGGAGGCCAACTGGAGCTCGGAGGCGGTGAACGGGAGCGCGGCGCCGCCAGGGGCGGAGGGCAACCGCACCCACGGGCCCCCGCAGCGCAACGAGGCCCTGGCGCGCGTGGAGGTGGCGGTGCTGTGCCTCATCCTCTTCCTGGCGCTGAGCGGCAACGCGTGCGTGCTGCTGGCGCTGCGCACCACGCGCCACAAGCACTCGCGCCTCTTCTTCTTCATGAAGCACCTGAGCATCGCCGACCTGGTGGTGGCGGTGTTCCAGGTCCTGCCGCAGCTGCTGTGGGACATCACCTTCCGCTTCTACGGGCCCGACCTGCTGTGCCGCCTGGTCAAGTACCTGCAGGTTGTGGGCATGTTCGCCTCCACCTACCTGCTGCTGCTCATGTCGCTCGACCGCTGCCTGGCCATCTGCCAGCCGCTGCGCACCCTGCGCCGGCGCGCGGACCGCCTGGCGGTGCTCGTCACCTGGCTGGGCTGCCTGGTGGCCAGCGCGCCGCAGGCGCACATATTCTCCATCCGCGAGGTGGCCGACGGCGTCTTCGACTGCTGGGCCGGCTTCATCCAGCCCTGGGGGCCCAAGGCCTACGTCACGTGGATCACGCTCGCCGTCTACATCGTGCCCGTCGTGGTGCTCACCGCCTGCTACAGCCTCATCTGCTTCAAGATCTGGCAGAACTTCCGCATCAAGACGGCGGCGGAGGGGGCGGCCAAGG